CTCGCGTTCGAACTCTTCAAGGTCAGCAGGAGTGCCGCGTCGCAAAAACGAGGAATCCTCGAGGCAGCGCGATGCCGGCGGACGCTAGAAAGCCACCGGTTCTGCCGAGGAAGGATCAGAGCCCTCAGGAGAGCAAGGACGCGAAGAATTGTCCGCTCGTTTCGATTCAGTCCAGCTTCAAACCGAACAGCCGAGTGTACGCCACTCTTCAGCAACTGAACGAGCAGAACTCGGCGAAATCGAGGTCCACGGTTAACAGGCCGGTGGACAAGTCGCCCGGGAGATCTCCGTACGCCTCGTCGAATCACGTGGAGAAGATTTACGAGCGCAGTCTGCAGCCTCAGGTGATTCACGCGGATGACCTCGAATCGATCCTACGACCCTCTTTGCAGGTTTCTGCTTACGGCGAGCCGGCCCGATCCGATCGGCACTCGCCTCCCGGAGAAGCGGTTACGCTCCAGCTACAAAACGACCAAGAAGAAGTTTACGAGCGAGTTGCCGAGCTGCGCTACGAACACCTGGAGACTATCGAGGAGGACGATCGAAAAAGCGAAGCGTCCGTTTACCCGGAGATCGGATTGAGCCAGTGTCTGAAGATTCAGGGTTTGTCGAACGGCAGGGATCAACGGAACGAACCTGCCAGGACGTTCGTCACGTTTCACTCGTCCAGGACGAATCTGCAGTCTCGATCGACCGGTTCGTTCGAGACGAGCGAGGAAAAACGCGAGGTCGACGAACCGATCGACGACCTTCAGATCCCATACGATTCCGTCGTGGACAAGAGCCAAACGTGTCACACCAGGGAGAACAGCGACCTGTCGACCGCGACTATCCCTCTGGACGAGCTGGAGAGCGAAAGGCAACGGGCAAAGTTCAAGGCCGAAGACGAGGCCGCCGAGATGGACTCCCGTTTGCGGAACAATCTCGCGGAAGAGAAACCCGACAGATTAGGCGAAAACGAGAGAACCTCTAGGGAGACCGAGGCTCGCGCCTCCGTCGTGAACGAGGTCTTACTGAAGAATCTCCAGTTCAAACAGGACCTGCCCAACGATTCCGAACGGGCCGACTCGTACAAGATCGTCGAGCAAATCGCTACGCAGAGACAGATCGGTTTTCATAATGTTCTGTGCGACGATTACGAGCACGCGCGGGACTCGAGGTTCAAGGAGAACAAAGTGTACGTGACGAAGGAGGAGATGGAGCGGCAGAGGTTGATGGACTTGCTGAGGAAAGGCGACTTCGAATCCGCCAGAATGGTGAGTGATGATTAAACGTTTCTATCCTTTGTTTCTTCGCGGATGAATTGGTCCGACTGCTCCTTCGACTTATTCGGACCTGCGATTGTTCTAACTTTTACAGCAGCGTAATTGTACGGTGTGCGTTAGCTTGTCATCTATGACTTATTCCTGCACCATATTTCAATGATCGCGGGATTCTTTTTATCGCGAATTGTATGGCGAGATTTATTGGACAATGACTCTGCGTTGACTCGATGGTTTCTGATCATTTTTATTGGGGGATAAATGCAGTGGGAATATCGCTAAACGAGTTAGGTGTTTAATAGCTGTTCATATATCAACTTCCATATTTTTCAACTAGTTTCGAATTTTATATTTTACATTACAAAATTTTGTTAAAGTGTCTGAATATTTTTGAATTCAAGTTTTATATGATGCTTGAGTATTTACTTTCAATTTAACAGTAAGTGTGCATTTAATATTAGAAGTTCTGCTGTTAACTTCATTCATATAGAGTAATTTGACTCGTATTTTGCTATAAATTATATAGAAATTAATGACGAAATAACTGTTGGGTAATGCAGCGATGAGTAGTCTATTTTTATAAGGTGATGATTGCCCATTGTAGCCTGCGAACATTGTTAAACGGAAACAGATATTTATCACCTACTGCATTATTCATTAGGAACCATATTTCAATGACTATCACGTTTTTTTAATGTAAATCGTACAAGATCGGACACGGTCGAGTAGCACGATTGTACAGGTTGTATCGGTTTTATCTCGATCAATCTCGAGTCTTGTTGAGAGTGTTTATAGATTTTCGCGAATCGACAATGTCACGGTGTTTCATAACCAGCGCTCTAACGGCGTTAACTGGTTCGTTTTAATTCGATACAAGATAAGCTCGCCTGGAAAGATATGGCTGACAGCAAACCAATAATTACATTCGTTCGTTTTATCGAGTACACGTACGGGGTGTGAAAATCGAAACAAGAAAATGTATTTCGTTGCAGGTATAACTTTAATTTCATGAGTATGAGAAATACCATGTACGATAAACGCTCTTTCAAACATTGATACAGAATCGAAAAAAATCGCAGTTGGAATGAAATTTGCAGCGTAGGTGAAACTAGGCGAAATGTCCTTGTTGGCAAATTCGATCACCGTGTCACAAAACCTCGTGAGAGTCTGCTGATTTTCCAATATTCAGAATCGTTCAATCATCTTTTGTTTCAATTTGTCAACAGTTCCAATAGCAGCAATTGCTGGCATGTTGCCAATATTTCAAAACTCGAATAAACGTATCTATCCATAGCGACTAAATGAATTTTCAAAATCGTTTTATATGGAAACAAAGGCTGGAAAAATTGGTTATCAAAAATTACATCGGGGACACCCAGTACAGGTTTCGAGTCACTGATTTCTCCAATAATTACGAGTCGAAATTAACCGAGCTGCGATTTATCTCCCATTCGCGATACATCGAATCGCCATTACGAGACACGTTGCGAGAAGACTGCTTCTCCCCGGAAACAGGGAGTAATCGGAGTCGAACTTTGTTGCATTTTACCACGCATCTCAGCGTGCAAATACGTTTGACAATAGAAGACAGTTTGTTTCGACTTGACAATTTCGTAGTTATTAATTACGGGACGGTAATTCACAGGGTGACATCGCGAGGTCGAAAATAATTTCAGGAGTGAGACGCACTCACAGCTTTCGTAAAATTTGATCTCAGGATTTACACAAGGGTGCAGTGCAACCTGTCACAAAATAATTATTGCTGAACTGTTTTAGAAAGATTTAAGGTTCCTATGCAATTGGTACATGAGGACACTTATAGTTCATACAGGGTGCCTGTGACACATTTAGCTCTGACCTATGGAGGTCGAAAATACCTTGTTACCTTGATAGAAGCTGACGCACCACGTGTGTCATACTATAAGACCAAAGAAATCGCGAGTGCACCACCGACGTCACAAGAGGTTAGGTAACACCAGAAATGAGCGTGCAAAGAGGGTGGATACGTAAATATCCGTGGAAATCGTAGCTAATGGTCGGTGTTCCTTGATAGAAGCTGACGCACCACGTGTGTCATACTATAAGACCAAAGAAATCGCGAGTGCACCACCGACGTCACAAGAGGTTAGGTAACGCCAGAAATGAGCGTGCAAAGAGGGTGGATACGTGGATATCCGTGGAAATCGTAGCTCATGGTCGGTGTTCCTTGATAGAAGCTGACGCACCACGTGTGTCATACTATAAGACCAAAGAAATCGCGAGTGCACCACCGACGTCACAAGAGGTTAGGTAACACCAGAAATGAGCGTGCAAAGAGGGTGGATAGTGGATATCCGTGGAAATCGTAGCTAATGGTCTGTGTTCCTTGATAGAAGCTGACGCACCACGTGTGTCATACTATAAGACCAAAGAAATCGCGAGTGCACCACCGACGTCACAAGAGGTTAGGTAACACCAGAAATGAGCGTGCAAAGAGGGTGGATACGTGGATATCCGTGAAAATCGTAGCTCATGGTGTTCAAGGTGCACGATCTCGGGACACGACTCCGCGTAAGAAACTATGGTGGCGGTGAGGTGAAAGAGAAAGAGGGAGAGAGGCGTACGATTTATGATTCAGTCGGGCTTGGGAACCAAGCATTAGGTATGCGGTTCATAGTACGCTTTAACGCGCAAGAAAGATGCAATAAATTGTAGCACGCGTGCTAGTACGTCTCGCTGACTCCGGAGGGAAAACGCGAGACTCGCCCTTAACGAGATTTCAGCCTCGCGTTCTTTCTTTCTTGTTGCCTGCCTCAAGGACAGCGTAAATTAATTTTCTTTCTCTTCTGTTTTGCGAAAGGTCGCTCTACGTAACGCGTACAGTCGACACCCTTCTTCGCGAAAAATATCACGGAGTAAACAGTGTTGGGATGTGATGCTGGTTCTTGCTGGGGACAATGATGCTGTCTGCTTCGTTTGGGAAGATTTGGGGACTGGGAGTCTCAAGGTTATTTAGTGGGATGTGGGAATTAGAGTTCATGTTAACATATGTTTATACAAGATCTTCATTGCATACTTCATGACTTATTCGTAGCTTTTAACCCTTTGTATTCGAAGGTAATTTGAGTGTTTGCAAAGAGTAACTTTAACACTAAAACTACCAAACTGGTCGAATGACCGCTCCACGAGTTTATTATTATACGGTACACATTTTGTTAAATACATTCCTTGAAATCAGAGTTGATTTTCATGGAGGTAAAGAATAAATGTATGTACTAATTTATGTTTCGTCGTTTGTTTATTTATTTTTCAATTTCGAATTAAATACACATGCCGGTAGGTTTAGTGTTAAGACTTAATTAAAAAGTTAAATTCTTTTGAGGTTATTATTCCTGTACTAATAATTTTCACTATGTTTATGCATCACATGTGTTATCTTATAGAATCAGTTAAGAAATGTTTATTTGAAATGATTCTATTAAATTAAACGATGAGTGAGTCACCCCTCGAACGCAAAGTTAGTTAATCTTTTTACAATTCTTAACATATTTTCCTATTTTACTCGTTAAATTTTATCCATTGTATGAGTACTTTTATCATAGTAGAATACTAAAATTGCAAGTAAAAAGAATGAAATCCCCGACCGAGATCGAAATGAAATTAATGTACACAATTTGCAGAATGGAGTAATGCATAATCAATTACCGTATTAATATACGATGCAAATTGTCTTGGCCATTTACGAGCGGCGATGAAATTCGAAATTTATCATCGCGAAACGAGCACGGCGAAACGAATTAAGACGTAGAAAATGAAACGAGCATCACACGATCCTCTCGTATTCCATCTCTGACGATGTATCGATTTCCCTGGACGAAGACTTACGAGTTCGCGCTCGTGTACGGGAGGAGTAACGAATATCCGGGTATAAATTGCCTGATCACCGATAGCGTGGCCGAACATGAAAGTACAAATGGCCATCGTCGAGCTGTATCAGTTTCGAGTAGTTTATTAGAGTCATAAAGCGAGCATCGGCAACAATTCGGCTGGTTGTTCGCCGTCGATACGCTCGGCAAGCACACGTCGCTACATGAACCGAAATCGATCGAACCATCGCCGGAAGTAATGAATTTCTCTCGAAAATATCGTTTCATCGATGACGTATCGCATGCTGCATCTGCGCGTCCTTCCTCGATGTTTCAATGCTACTCAAAATAGTCACTTCCAACTCTTTTCAAACCTCTTCTTCTTCTTAACACTGGAACTACCAAAATGACTGATTTCAGATTTCTCATTTTATATTACAAAATATTGTTGTGATTTTATGGAAATTTCTGTTCTATTTTGTTGAGGTAAAAATCATATGTTACTTGATGCTATAGTATTACTTTATTTCCCTTTTCATTTTTCATTCTTCGAAAATCGAGCATTTAATATTGGCAGTTTTAATGTTAATTTCCCTCATCAAAGTTCACCAAAGTTAACTCTAAAAGTTAAAGTTTAAGCATCTAATAGGCCTCAGGATCTTACCTTAACATTCACGCAACTTGCAAAGACAAACTCTAATAGAACTTAAATATCCACAAAGAACTATCTACAAATATTCGACAAATATACTCGGTTATAACTTGAAGTTATAAAAGGAACGAGCAACGAACCCGTATCTAATCAGTCTGAATAGAGAACACGTGCAGCTGCATACATAATTTTGAACGGGTTGCATCGAAATCAGCGGAGGATTAATCGAGACGCATACTGTCACGGACAGGATACCGTGAATGTATAACGCCTGTGCAGGATCGATCGATGCACGTGCAAACATCTGCAGCGAGGATTTTTCAGACAGCGAATTCGAAAGAATCTATGCTCGCGAATCGCGGTATACGTTCGAACAGCTGAGCGCTTTGGAGCAAGGTTTTGTTGAGGAAAAGTAGCCCCGAGAGTAAACTTTGAGAAACCGTTTTTCAATCTAACCGCGAACGCTTTTCGATATGGAGGTGGCTTTAGGAAACGAT